CTACACGACTCGAAACCCACATAGAAAAAACATGACTTGAACCCGCACGATTAATAATTGGGTAATTTTTAGGTCAACCCGTTTTGACCCGTTTATTAAACGGGTGGGTTTCGGGTCAACCCACCAACCCGTTAAAACACATGTTTAACCCCTTTATTAAACGGGTCGTGTCAACCAGTGTAAGACACGTCAACCCGCGAAAAAATATAGAGAAATAGAGACTTCAAAACACACATATGGGGGGTTTTGAACCCCCACGATCCTCATTACTCTCCAACACCTTATCCACTATGCTAGATACAACTTTGTGATTATATACTATGCCTTTTGATATTTATAATGTTTCTTTGTCTTCTTTTGTTTTTCTTTATTTTCCGTCTATCTTCTCTTTTGTCTTTTTTAATTTCTTTTCCTTCTCTCTTTTCTCCTCTCTTTTTTTACTTCTCTTTAGTTTTCTCTCCTCTCTTTTTTTTTTTTTCTTTCTTTTCCTTCTATGTTGTTTTCTCCCCCCTTTTTTTTTTTTTTTTTTTCTTTCCTTCTCTCTTCTCTCTCTCTCTCTCTCTATCCTTTTCTTTCTTTCTTTTCCTTATATTTTCTCTCCTCTCTCCATTTTTTTTATTTAAATTTTTTTAGTTGTGACTTTTGTAACATGCATGTTATTATTTATCAACCCGTTACACGACTCGAAACCCGCACGATAAAAGACGACCCGAACCCGACACGACACGCTTATTAAATGGGTTGGGTTCAGGTTGAGCATTCTTGACAAGTTTAATATCCCGACACGACACGAACCCGACACGACCCGACCCATTGCCAGCCCTAGTTTTAGGCAAAGTCGGTTTTACATAACAGAAACTCTGGATTCCACCTCTTCCCGTCCTTGGCGACGATGGTATGCTGCTCGACTTTCAGGTTGTGTTGAGCTTGGATCTACAGAGCTTTGACATATTTCTGAAGACACGAAGCAGATGCGCTTCTGGTAAAAAACAAGAACAAGATCAAACCAAACCCAAAAAAAGCCACCTCTATCACGTCTTCCCTAACCCCAACCCAACCTCTCCCCATACCCACCATCTAGATCCACCAGTGTAGGGCAGTGGGTGGATGTCAGATCCAAACAGAGTGCATCAAGGCCAAGTGGTTGTCTCCTCACACGATTTCTGCGACTGAGACCGAGTTGGACGAGTCGGTATTTGAGCTGTAGGAGAGTTTGGGTGAGGAAAACAAGACGATAGTGTCGAAGGAATGAAAACCGCCGGAGTTGAAGCCCAAGAGATCTCAGACTGGGGTTAAGATGGGGACTGGTTTAGCTTCTGCCATGGAAAATGAGCCATAACAGTAATATTTTTATTTGGATTAACTACACGTTAGTCCCTGGAGGTTTAGTATCAGTATCGAAATGAGCCCCAAGGTTTCAATTTAATCAATTTCGTACCCAACATTTCGAAATATTACCAATTTACACCAGCCGTTACATTGACCGTTAAAGTCAGATGTTAAATGCTGACGTGGCAGTCGTGGGACCCACCTCATAACCAAACAGCAGTTAGAAAGAGACGAGACGATGGGCAATTTCAAAAAAAAAACACACACATGGTCGGCTTCGCACGCGTTCCAAGGCGTGCTTCGATTACCAGGCTTGGAAAAATCGAACAAACTCAGTTTCTGAGTTGTGTTCGTGTACTGAGACATAATAGAGGAGAGGGTTTGATGGTTTGTTCGTGTTTTGGAGTGCAAAAATTTGAAATAGACTGCAAAAATCATACTGAAACGAAGGTTTCGGAAAGATTTGAAGAATATGAGTTGGGGACTTCGTCTGGAAGGATATGGAGAACCTTTCTACAGTACGTATGGCTTACTATTCAAATAGAGTCAGTTTCGAGTTTGATGTCGACTGAAAGTTTGGCTTTTATAATGGATTGTGAGTTTCGAGTTAGGTGTCGGTATCACTGTGTCTATTTAATTGGTGGATGGAATGGTGTGAATGGTAGGTGGTATGCGGAAGTAAACTTTGGCTTTTGTATGTGGTCCTACAAACATTGTGAATCTTACCTTTTGTTTATGTGTTTATTGACATAGAAACCTGCATTTGTATATGTGTGTTTGTATTTGTCTGTTTGTATATCTGCATTTATATATCTGTATTTGTATTTGTATTTGTATGTTTATTTGTATGTGTATTTGTAAACAGGAGTACATGTATTATTTTTGGGTAAAATTGGTAAAATTCATGTGTGGCTTTCGACTTGTAGGGGATGAGGCAGGATTTTCTATTCAAATGTACCATAATGGCGAAATAAGAGGTAACTATTATGTGAATGGGTCTATGGATTGATTTGATTATTGTGATAAGGATAGAATGTCAATGACTGAGATAGATGCCATGGTGAAGGAGTTAAGGCACGAAGGTTTGATTAACCACTGGTACAGTATTCCAGATGATAGTTTTGATGGTGGCCTAGTTAAGCTGAGTGAGGATACAAATGTCTTAGACATGCTAGTATTTTTGCCGGACACTAGGGTGATAAATATATTCTTAGAACATGTCTTGGCATGCAGTCAAGAGCAGTTTTACATTCAAGTGGGTTCAAACATATTTATAAATCTGGATGATGAATTTGGGACCAATAGTGGGGTAGTTTTACAAGAGCTTGATGACAATTATGGTGCCATTGTTCCAGTGGGTGGGGGAGTTGGTAAGGTGCAAAAGGTGAAAAAAAAAACAAGTGTTGTAATAGAAGAGTTGAATCAAGAAGCAGGTGGAGAAGGCAAAGAGTTGAATGAAGATGGGTTGATTGATGAAGCTTCTAAACAAGGCAAAGAAACTGCCACTGTGCATAATGAGGAGAATTCTGACAAGGGCCAAGAAAAGCCAAGTCAAGGTTGTTATGATAAAGGCAAAGGCAAGGATAAAGACATGTCACATAGGGTGAAGCGTGCATTTGGTAAAAAACGATGCGGCAGTTTGAGGAGAACAAAGATTGTTCACCATAAATACAAAGTTGTGGAAGGAATGGTTGATGGCGTCAGGACCGAGTTTCAAAGGCATTCCATGATGTTGAGAAGTGGAAGAAGAATGGCAAATGCTGTAGACTTTGAAGATGAAGATGATGATGCTTGTGATAGTGATAGTGAGGACTCAGATTATATGATTCCCAAAAACTTCAGTGAAGATGAAGATGATGTTTTTTTTTATGAATAGGTGGATGACCAAACTGAATGGACAGGGGTTAAAGAAACTGGGAATGAGGCTGCTCTTAATTGGCCTACAGATGTTGAATTGGATTCTGAAGATTCTGAGTGCAGGGATTACGCCAATTATAATTCTGCAAGGAAGTTGATAAGAATTGGCCAGAGTTCAATGCTGCAACTGACATGGCAGATCCAAAGTTTGAGATTGGGATGTTGTTTAGTGATTTTAAGGTGTTTAGAGCAGCTCTCAAAGAATACTCCATATTGCAGAGAAGGAATGTAGTGTTCATTAGGAATGAGGCTTTGAAGCTGAAAGCAGTTTGTAGGGACCCAAATTGTGGGTGGATGATATATGCTTCAAAAATTCAACATGACAACACATTGCAAGTGAAGACATATGTAGGTGAGCACACATGTACACAGCTATGGGAGAACCCTACTGTGAAGTCAACATGGATAAGCAAGAAATATGTTGACAGTTTGAAGTCCAATCCCCAGTGGCCAGTCAGGTCATTCAAGCAGGCTGTTGAGAAGGATTATAATACAGGGGTGTCAAGACAACAAGTGTATAGGGCAAAAGAGAAGGCACTAAAGCTGATTGAGGGCAGTTTCAATGAACAATATTCAAGAATTTGGGATTACTGTGAGGAATTAAGGAAAAGTAACCCAGGAACCACAACAATGGTTAAGTGTGATTTCCAACAACAGTTGGGGCAACCAAAGTTTCAAAGGTTGTATGTTTGTTTAGGAGCTGCTAAGGAAGGCTTCAAGGCTAGGTGCAGGCCTATTATAGGTTTAGATGGGTGCTTTTTGAAGAGTGTTTATGCAGGGCAACTATTAACTGCTATGGGTATAGATGCCAATAATGAAACCTGGGTAATTGCTTATGCAGTTGTGGAATCAGAGTGCAAGGAATCTTGGATTTGGTTTCTAGAGCTATTGGTTAAGGACTGTGAGATTGTGAATCAATTTGGCTTCACCTTTATATCCAACAAACAAAAAGGTTTACTGCCTGCTTTTGAGCAAGTGGCCCCTAATTGTGACCACTGGTTCTGTGCAAGACACCTGTTTTCCAACTATAGGCTGCTTTTCAAAGCAAAAAGCCTCAGAGACAAGTTTTGGGAAGCATCATATGCAACCACTATCCCCCACTTTACAAGGGCCATGAAAGACCTGAAAAAACTGTCAAATGATGCATATGAATGGCTAACCACTCCAGATAAACCTCCAAGGCATTGGTCCAAGTCACACTTCAACACTCATTTGAAATGTGACATGTTGTTGAATAATCTTTGCGAGTCTTTTAATGCTACCATATTGGAATGTAGGGATAGACCAATTATGTCAATGTTTGAGTATATTAGATGAAAGCTGATTAGGATAATACAAGGAAGAAGGGACAAAATGCTGACATGGAACAAGCCTATCTGCCCAAGGATATTTAAGAATGTGGAGGGAAATAAAGCCAGGGCAGGTGATTGCGTGGCAATGTGGTCAGGTAGAGGTAAATTCCAAGTGTCAACTGGTGGCCATGCACAATATATTGTGGACTTGGAATTGAGAACTTGTTCTTGTAGAGCTTGGGATTTGCAGGGATGGTCTTGTGTTCATGCTATTGCAGCCATAAATTATAAAGGGGGTCTTAATGTCATGGATTTTGTGGATGACTGCTATTTGAAAACAACTTACTTGAAGACATATGAGAATCTCATACTGCCTATGAATGGGATGGATATGTGGGATAGGAGTGACTTTCCGCCATGTCTTCCTCCTTCTTACTCTAAATAGCATGGAAGGCCAAGAAAATGTAGAAACAAAGAACAGGAAGAGCACAAGGGCAAGATGAAGATGAGAGCATCAAGCAACCAATCTGAAACTACATTGTCTCGCATTCCCAACACACAGGACTCTCTCAAATGTGGCCAATGTGGTAAAAAAGGGCACAATAAGAGGACTTGCCATAGGAATCTTCCCCCAAAAGCCAAACCTGCAACTAAGAGAAAGAGGGGTACTGAAGACACCCAGGTATAGCAACTCAATCTTGTTGAATTCTATCCCTTAATAACCCTAAGCTTTTGTTGCAAACTAATGTAGTTTTTAGGTTATAGACCACTCCATCTGACGCATCCACTCTAGCTGGTGGTCTAAGCACCCTAAAGAAAAAATCCAAGCCTCCAAGGCGTGTGCAAAAAGGGAAGCCAAAAACAAGTAAGAAAGGACATGCCACTTCTGAAGCACAACCAGCCTTCCCTTCATGTCCTCATGCATCAACTTCTGTTTCAACTGCATGATCAAATGTTGTACATTGAAGCTGATTGAAAAAGCTATTTGATGATTTTGGTTTAATTTGTTAGACTGGCAGTTTGTGATTAGAAGGTTTTTGTTTTTGATAAATTGGTCCTGTATAACTTAAGTGCTAACTTTTTTTTATGGATGTAATGGCATTCACATAAGCCTTAACCACTGTGAATGCAAATACATCCACTGAAGATGATGTTTTGGAATGAATTTGAATAGACATGAAATATGTACGATATGCAATGTTATTATCTGGCTATTTTGAGCCCATTTTGAATGTAGAATTTTCTGAGTTTTTGGGTTGCCACTTTGCTCAATTATTTTGTTCATTCACTTCATTGTTCCATGTGCATCCATTTTCTAAGCCATTTTATAACTTCCCTGCTGCATTTTTTTTGCCATTCCATTTTCTACAAATTTTGCCATTCCATTCACTTAATCAACTTACAAAAAGTCGGCAATTAAGCCCTTAAGCCTTACCTCTAAAACCCTAAACCCTTACATAACAATTAAACCATTACAAAATGCTACTAACAACCCAACACTTACAGAATCACAGAAAATACCCTAAACATCCCATAAACAATACATTCATTCAATGGCAGAAGCTAATTCCAAGCTCCTCTTTTTGTTCACTCCACATCCACACATCCCTCCCAAAATTATGCTTGCAAATAGAACCCACGAAGCCACCAACAACACCCAAACGACCTTTTCTCTTTGTCTTGCCTTTGCCACTGACTTCTCCAGCTTATTCTGCGATTTTAGAAGCCCAGGAATCACTGCCTTCGACCGTTCACACATGGTCGGATCAAACCATACCCAGAATTGACAGCTCTTAAAACCCTTCTTAGTCTCACGTACCTTTACTGCACACATGGAAAATCACCTCCTAGGATTCGAATCTGTCTAAGAGGTTCGAATTGGACAGGTTCGAATTGTTGCAGCCTTTCGGCACCAACACATCGGCGCCTCTTCATTCATTTCGCCCAGCCAATCGGATCTTCTTCGTCAGTTTCCCTCCACTTTTTTCCTCGCTCCTTTGCTCTCCAAAACATGAATCCAATCCATCTGAGTTTGTTTGATTTTGGAAAACCTGGTAATCGAAGCACGCATTGAAACGCGTGCCAATCGTGTGTGTTTTTTTTTTCTTCTGAAATTGCCCATCGTCTCGTCTCTTTCTAACTGCTATTTGGTTATGAGGTGAGTCCCACGACTGCCACGTCAGCATTTAACGTCTGACTTTGACGGTCAATGTAACGGTTGGTGTAAATTGGTAATATTTCGAAATGTTGGGTAAGAGAAAGAGGGGTACTGAAGACACCCAGGTATAGCAACTCAATCTTGTTGAATTCTATCCCTTAATAACCCTAAGCTTTTGTTGCAAACTAATGTAGTTTTTAGGTTATAGACCACTCCATCTGACGCATCCACTCTAGCTGGTGGTCTAAGCACCCTAAAGAAAAAATCCAAGCCTCCAAGGCGTGTGCAAAAAGGGAAGCCAAAAACAAGTAAGAAAGGACATGCCACTTCTGAAGCACAACCAGCCTTCCCTTCATGTCCTCATGCATCAACTTCTATTTCAGCTGCAGGATCAAATGTTGTGCATTGAAGCTGACTGAAAGAGGTATTTGATGATTTTGGTTTGATTTGTTAGACTGGCAGTTTGTGATTAGGAGGTTTTTGTTTTTTATAAATAGGTTTTTTATTTTGGTTTGATTTGTTAGACTGTCAGTTCTTGTATAACTTAAGTGCTGACTTTTTTTTATGGATGTAATGGCATTCACATAAGCCTTAACCACTGTGAATGCAAATACATCCACTGAAGATGATGTTTTGGAATGAATTTGAATAGACATGAAATATGTACGATATGCAATGTTATTATCTGGCTATTTTGAGCCCATTTTGAATGTAGAATTTTCTGAGTTTTTGGGTTGCCACTTTGCTCAATTATTTTGTTCATTCACTTCATTGTTCCATGTGCATCCATTTTCTAAGCCATTTTATAACTTCCCTGCTGCATTTTTTTTGCCATTCCATTTTCTACAAATTTTGCCATTCCATTCACTTAATCAACTTACAAAAAGTCGGCAATTAAGCCCTTAAGCCTTACCTCTAAAACCCTAAACCCTTACATAACAATTAAACCATTACAAAATGCTACTAACAACCCAACACTTACAGAATCACAGAAAATACCCTAAACATCCCATAAACAATACATTCATTCAATGGCAGAAGCTAATTCCAAGCTCCTCTTTTTGTTCACTCCACATCCACACATCCCTCCCAAAATTATGCTTGCAAATAGAACCCACGAAGCCACCAACAACACCCAAACGACCTTTTCTCTTTGTCTTGCCTTTGCCACTGACTTTTCTAGCTTATTCCTCGATTTTAGAAGCCCAGGAATCACTGCCTTCGACCGTTCACACATGGTCGGATCAAACCATACCCAGAATTGACAGCTCTTAAAACCCTTCTTAGTCTCACGTACCTTTACTGCACACATGGAAAATCACCTCCTAGGATTCGAATCTGTCTAAGAGGTTCGAATTGGACAGGTTCGAATTGTTGCAGCCTTTCGGCACCAACACATCGGCGCCTCTTCATTCATTTCGCCCAGCCAATCGGATCTTCTTCGTCAGTTTCCCTCCACTTTTTTCCTCGCTCCTTTGCTCTCCAAAACATGAATCCAATCCATCTGAGTTTGTTTGATTTTGGAAAACCTGGTAATCGAAGCACGCATTGAAACGCGTGCCAATCGTGTGTGTTTTTTTTTTCTTCTGAAATTGCCCATCGTCTCGTCTCTTTCTAACTGCTATTTGGTTATGAGGTGAGTCCCACGACTGCCACGTCAGCATTTAACGTCTGACTTTGACGGTCAATGTAACGGTTGGTGTAAATTGGTAATATTTCGAAATGTTGGGTACGAAATTGATTAAATTGAAATCTTGGAGCCCATTTCGATATTGACACTAAACCTCCAGGGACTAAAGTGTAGTTTATCCTTTTTATTTTTAATAGTTAAACTAAGTTTTTTAAAAGACTTTTTTTTTTTTCACACATGGCACTTAGTTTAGCAAAATAGTTGCTCCTATTAGTGCCACGTCAGCATTTTTAATGGACTTTTTAACAGACTTGACGGTGATGGGCAAAGTGAGACAAAACATCAGTCAATGAGGCAAAGTGGGTCACTTTAACTTTAAGGGCGTTTAGTGGGAATTGACCAATGTTTCAAGGGGCATTGTAGAACTTAAGCCTAAATAATAATTAAAACATAATGTGATTTGAAGGAGCAGTGATAAGTGAAGGTCCCTGTACATCATAGTGAATTAACGTAAACGGAGTAGTACACTTGTTCGACTCAACAAATAGGGCACACGGTGACTCTTGGCCAAATACAAGTATCACATGTGAAGTCGGAGTCCTTGAAACCTGAGAATAAATCTTGTATAAGATGCTTCATATAACTAAGAGACGGAGGTCCCAATCGACAGTTCCATAACCAGATTTGCTTTGTTTGCTATTAGATGGATGCGTCATACTATTTGCCATGCTGGAACTGAAGTCATCTACATAATATAGCGCCCTTTTCTTAGTACCACGACCAAGAATCTCCTTCGTGTGAATATCTTGAAGCACACAAAAATTCAAGTAAATGAGTACACAACAATTCAATTGGTCAATAAGTTGACTAATGGACATCAATTTATTGGATAAAGATGGAACAAGTAAAGTATTAGACAGTGAGAGAGAGGATGAGAGTGCAACAGTGTCAGCCCCTATCACGGGATAAGTAACTCCATTGGCATTAGCAATACAAGTTCGTCAGGATTGAGTAGTATTCATAAAATCATTAGGATTAAACGTCATATGATCAGTTGCACCAGAATCAATTATATGGTGCGTGGAGTCAATCTTATCCGAAGTATGGAATCCATAACCAGTACAATTACTAGTCGTATCGCGTTGTGTTCGATCTTGAGAGTAGCCCACCATTCAGAGTAGCCATACAATTTAAAACAAGTCTCACGAGTATGTCTTGGATCACCACAGTATGTACA